ACCAACTTTCAATTTTAGTTCATGTGATGCTGATCCAGAAGGATTTAAAGTATTCAGGAATTCGGTCGGGTAATCATCCCTATCAGAATCCTCGTCTGTCATAATTGAGTCAGTACTTAAATATGTCTTGCATTCTCCTTGCAGAATTTTCAAGACTTGCTCGTTTATTTCATCAACGTCTGCATTCGTGGGGCATAAAATAGCCATTTTTGAAAATTGCTCTACTTTTTCAGGAGTTAGAGACTCACCAAAAATATCTTTAATTATATTTTCTGTCGCCAGCATTGCTTCTGGAATTTCTATTAAACTATCTTGTAATCCGTCCACATTTGTCAATTCACCGTTACCAAGTTTAATTAGCCAATCACTGTATTCCTTATCAAGTGATCTTACATTATTATTCAATTTCAAAATTTGAAATTTCCTCCAAAGGTGACTAAATTTTATGCTTGCCTGGACAATTGATACAGCATCACCGTGTGGGATTATTGGCAATGTTTGCCTAAAATCACCTCCGAGGAGTAAAACCTTTCCTCCAAATGGAAGATCATTTCTCATAATTTCTTTCAACAGCCTATCAATGCAATGCAAAGCATGAACTGATGCCATCGTTGACTCATCCCAAATTAGCAGTTTAGCGGTCCGAATTAACGTCGCATCATTCGTAGTCATCTCTATCGATGAAACTGATGTCTCGTTTAAATTCAATGGAAGTTTGTATTGGGAGTGGTAGGTCCGTCCTCCCTTTAACAAATTAGCAGCAATTCCTGTTGATGCAACAGGCAATGCAATATCACCTTGCCCTCTAACGTAGCTTAAAAGTGTTTTATATAAGTAAGTTTTCCGACTTCCACCAGGGCCGTCAAGGAAAAAACATTTTTCAACTGGTTCAGCAGAGTTTATTGAGTATTCTATTGCCTCAAATGCACTCAGTTGTTCTTCTGTCAATGTTGATTTAAGATCTTCCGCGACGCCACGCTCTAACTCAATATCTACAAAATCATTTAAATTCAAAGGCAGATGGGAAGGAGGGTCCTTTAGTTTGTAATCAGAACACTTTCTCCCATGTGTAATAAGTGTTTCTGAAATATACCTTAGCGCATATGACTCACACATATCACACTCTTCGTCAGATGGATGGCCATGAACTCTTACAAAATCCTCGGTAAGATTTTCTTTATGTTCATTCCATAGGCCTGTCATGTCGGAGGTCTCTCCAAATACACAAATATATGCAAAAAGTTCTCGCAGCTGACGTGGCATTGATGCATAAGCAGCATCATTTAATGTATCATTCCACACTGTTTGATCGCAAATCAAACCTCTCGCCTTAGCAACTTCATAAAATGAATCGTAAGCATGTCCTTGATATTTTAGAAGGTCGTCATAACTTGTTGGTCCTGCTACATGAAGTAGCAATAACCTCAAGAAATATCTCTCGCCATCGCTCATACTCACAGAATACAGACGTCCGATAACTTTGTCAGTGTGTCCATCTTTACGACGAACCCATTTATTCTTTGCATTAAATACGTAATACTCTGGAATTTCCGCATACTTGTATTGCCTGGCTTTTGGATCTTGGGTATTTAACTCGAAGAATGCCGTTAATGTAGAGTCTGTATTTTCTGCTTTATGAATTGCTTCTTGAATTTTATTAGGATCGAATGACACTCGTTTCTTGCCTGGTAACTCAACCTTTAATCTTGATATGGAATGAGTTCTATCTTGCATAGGGAATCTGAAAATTCTCCAAGCTGCCTCAGGAGGACTGACATATCTTGAATCAACATGTGTCTTAATCTCATCTATTCGTAACTCAACTTTTGCGCAATCGTGTCCCTTATAAGCGTATTTAAATAAATATTTAACGCTTCTAATCGATGCGCAAATTTCAACATTGATATGACAATTGTATTTTAAACTTAAGTATGGGTTATATGGAACAACCCATCTATTGTCAATTTTAATATTTTTATTAGTCACAACTGGTTCTAAATTGCGTCGCCGGTAAAACGGAAATCCGTTAACGTTAGCCAAAGTTTCATGTTGAAATGGTTTTGGAAAACCTTTCGAACATTTCCCGTCCACCAAGCATGGTGATTTTGAATTAATTTTATCACACGGGCCGTGGATCATATTTTTCGTAACGACATCAAATAGCCTTGGATGTGTTTCGTTATTAGGTATTTCGGCACACACGATCTTATCGATAAGGTCAACTGTCCTTGGCTTATCAATATCTTTTAGAATTATAAGAATATGAGCATGAGGGAGACCTCTTTTTTGAAATTCAATGACATGTACTTTTGCAAGTACGTGTCCTAGGACACATTTTTTTGTCAAATCCTCCAGCATCGATCTTAATTTAACATTGAATACCCGTGCTACCAAATCGGGTCTATTTTCAGGCTTTTGGCCATCTTCCAAGTTCGCAGTAATTTCAAACCATTTGGGGTTGCATGTCATTGTGATGAATAAATCTGGTTTTCCAAATTTTCTTACAATGGACATAGCATCTTGATAATTTTGATTCATATTTCTTCTGCTACCCTGAAAAGTCGAAGGTAAAATTATTGGTTTTCCAGGAACTATTCCATCCTGTTCTGCAACGGAGTCCATATAGTCCACCAATGCGTCATAGCTACCTGCTCTAAGCTTGCTTTGATTTTGCCGAACGAAATTAAGGTCGTTTGCTTCAGCTTTCACATACGCATCGACAAAGTATTGCTGAGTAAGTTTTCCGGCACTCAAAAACGGACTAAATGTCTCACGAACCGAAAATATGTAAGAGTAGTACATTTTTAGTGTTACTCTTTTTCTCGAGTTTGTGTTAACATTTGTCGAGTGAGAACGTACGCATAACGCCAAGTCTTCTCCCCAGCCTTGTTCTCCATATGGATAGAGGAGGGGATAGGTCAGGGCATCAAGATTTTTGTTTAGAATACTAATTCGTTTTGTTGTAGGAGAATTTTCGCCGGTTGGTCTTAAATGAATTAGTAAATCTCTTTCTAGTGGAGGCTCGCCATCGGTATTGCTGAAGATTATCGCAACCTCATTACATGTCTGCATGTTATATCGACGGTTGTCAAGAGCTCGGTCGTTAACAATCGCCATTGTAACTTCTTTGGCTAAATGTCCTTGGCTTTGTTCTTTGATTTTCTCCTCCTTCTCGAATTCATGAAGCATTTTGAATGCTCTTGCAAACGGATTATCTTTCATAATATCAAGCAGGTTCGACATCACATGATTTTTGCAGGCAACATTAGAAGGTTCGTTCAGTCTTTGACTGGTTGCCTCATCTGGGTCAAGTATATACAATTGCGCGTACTTTCGTGGTTCGCCTTCTTCTGGATGCAAGGTCCCTGCCCTGTGATAGATCTGACCATGGATTCTGTAACAGTACGGGCCATACCCAGGTGGAGCTTTAATTTGTGCTCCAACTGATGCAAATGCGAATGCATTATTGTAGGACCTTATATGTTCCATGAAATGTTTAGAATCTGGGTCCTTCCCTGTTAAAAGTCGTTTTATGTACTCATATGTTGCAAAATTTTGGATTTTGACCTTTCCTTTGTTGCAGCAAACTGTAAACTTTTTATCGGTTGGTCTTTCTCTAGCAAAATGCTTGGCATTGCAAAATTCACAAAGAACATTCATCTCCCCCATATTGTGTAATTCCACAATGCTTTCTTCTAAATTATCAATTATGGCTGCTCTTGCTGTCATTTTTAGTACGCGACATGAAGCATTGGCTCGATTTGTGCGCAATTGCTCTAATCTCTCATCTCTCTCTTTGGGTGTTTCAAGTTGGCGTCTTGATGAAATTCGTTGATTGTCCTGAATTTTTCGTTTCATTGCCTCTTCGTCAGTCTCTGTCAATCTCACTACTGAAGTTCTCTGAGCATTCGCTAGGCAACGTGCTGACCTTTCCTCTTCGGTCTCAGCTAACCTACTTTCATTGTTTCGTCGAGCATTCGCTAGGCAACGTGCTGACCTTTTCTCTTCGGTCTCAGCTAACCTACTTTCATTGTTTCGTCGAGCATTCGCTAGGCAACGTGCTGACCTTTCCTCTTCGGTCTCAGCCAACCTACTCTCATTGTTTCGTCGAGCATTTGCTAGGCAACGTGCTGACCTTTCCTCTTCGGTCTCAGCTAACCTAGTTTCATTGTTTCGTCGAGCATTCGCTAGGCAACGTTCTGACCTTTCCTCTTCGGTCTCAGCTAACCTACTTTCATTGTTACGTCGAGCATTCGCTAGGCAACGTTCTGACCTTTCCTCTTCGGTCTCAGCCAACCTACTCTCAGTGTTTCGTCGAGCATTTGCTAGGCAACGTGCTGACCTTTCCTCTTCTGTCTCTGCTAATCTGCTGTCAGCTGTTCGTCTGGCATTAGCGTCTCTCCGAAGTGATGCTTGCGACTCAGTTTCTCCTGGTCGTCGTCGATGCATCATAGAATTTTTAGTTTCCGAATCAGATGCTGATTCAAATTCATCTCTGCAGTTTAACCGTTGCTTCTTGCGTACCATTCTGAATAACTGCCAACTTAGGGCTCAAAATTGCTACGAATAGCTCAAGTGGTTGCCACTTAGGGCTCAGTATGTGTCTACAGATAGATCACTCAAAATTATGTATAATGAATCGAAAATGCCAACTTAGGGCTGAAAATAAGTCGACTTAGGACTGTTTCCCGTGCAAATGCAAATAATGCGAGAATTTACGGGTTGCTTGCCTAAGAAAAAATTAATCAAATTAATTGGTAAAAATATAGTTTATATAGAAATTCTTGCAAATAGCGAATTTTTTAATTAGTGGCTGCAACCATTTCCAAACAAAATTCAAACAAATCATCAGTCAAATTACCTACCTAAAATGATTTTCTGAACAATCAATTGGAAAACTCTTTTATTTAGTTAAATTTAAATTTAGTTAATTTTCTGTTTTTTGTAGTTTCCTGCACACAAAAATTCAATGAAAAACAGGAAATTTCCAAGGAAAGCTCAAAATAATTTCGGCAACCCAGTCTGACGACATTGCACAGCAAAGTGATGACCACTAAAATTGTTGCTACCGTTTGATTAATTCAGCTTAACGTTGACAAAACGTTTTTGTTGACTGTTAGCAGGTCCTATAATTATGCCTTGCAGGAGAGGGGGTAACGTAAACAAACGTTTCCACCCTGCCGACACAAATTGGTAAAGGGATGCAAATTTCAGCAAGCTTTCACAACGTTCAGCTAACGTATAACTGAGAGCCAATCATAAAATTTTAATTTTTTAATGCTTTCACTATTGGCCCTATCCTGCAATGTATAATTAGCATTGGAAGATTCGAAAAGTCTTGAATCCTATCTTTCAATGGTAAGTTGGCACCGTCTGGCAATAGAAACGTTCTGTCAACGTCGAGCTGAGACAATAAAACGTCTGACAGCAGTTTAATGCTCATCAGTCGATCGCCAACTGTCAGCTCGGTTGCCACAATTTTTGCAGTTCCCTTGAAAATTAATTTCTACATTTTGCGAACTGTATTCAATTCTTGATTTACTTTCATATGGCTTATAGAGTCGCTTCTGAATTTTCTCCCAACGCTGTGGCCGCTGGTTGGGATGTGGCCTCTACACGGCTCTTGAAAGCACCAAATGATCGATTTTGCGTTCAGTGCGGATTTGTTATCCGGGGTCAGGCGATGGACAAACCTGGTAATTATATTTCATTGAAAATCTAATATTTATGCTTTATTAGTTTTTGATAGTCCAGCGTATACGATGTACTACTATTTAATAAAGTTAGTCTAATAATTTATATCGTCTCTACAAATACAAATTTTACTTTGTTGTTTTATAGCTGTGTGCCCACACAAAAATTGCAAGCAGCCTCTAATCTTCCGAGCAAATCAATTTGATTCCGCTAGCAAGTGGGGACGCTGCCGACAGTGTGACAGCTTTACTCACGGTATGTATAACTGTGTTACTAAACATTTAGAGTTAGAAATCCACCTGTCAAAAAACCTTTTAATTGAACGTCGAAATATAGATTCTTCGATAGTTAATTTTGGGTCATCACATCTATATGTATTTTATTATTTATTATTACAGCCGACTTCCCATACTGTCAATCCTGCGGTACGGCTAATCGAGACGCCCTTTCCCGAAAACGCCGCTTTGAACAAATTCAAATTCAGAAACAGCAGCTTGAAGCCAAGCGACTGAAAGAAGAGAATGACGCCTTGAAGCAGCAAACGCATGATCCTGATTTCTTGTTATGGAAAGAAGTGAAGAAGGAGGAGGAGCGGAAACGAATATTAGAAGAAGAAAAGAAGAAAATTGAGGAGGAGGAGGCTAACGCTGATGCCGAACAGGTAGCTGCCGCGAAGAAGTTAGAGGAATCTCTTCTACAGGATGATGAAGAAATGAAGGAATAATGTGGTAAATGTGCAAAATCATAAAATTTTAATGAAGCTTTTTAAGTCTCCCTCTTATTTGTAATTAGTTTGATGATTTTTTAAATTTCAAGAACTGTTTTTTGTTTTATTTGTTTCAATGTTTCTTACTTACTTTCATGCTTCCTACTTAAAATTTACACATGTATTTATGAAATAATTTAAATGAATAAAACATTCCATTAAAAATATATAAAAACAAAATTAAATTTGCCTTAGCATTACTTTTGTAAATATTAATAGCATTAAAACTTATTTTTATTTCATCAAGCCAAACACATTGCTCATCTTATATTAAAATAGTCACACATAGACAGAAATGTTAAATTTAAGAGCCGGGGCTATGAGACTACTCACACGAAGCGGCAATTTCAAACCTTAGCATGTGTGGTCGGCCAACGAATCCCGGCCAGCGAAATACATAGACAACATTTAAAATGCAGACTTAGTCACGTAAATTTCAGATCACGTGGCGTTATTCAGGAAGTGTGCCCAGTTCACAGGACACGTGGCGTAATACAGGGGGTGTGCCCAGGTCACAGGACACGTGGCGTAATACAGGGGTGTGCCCAGGTCACAGGACACGTGGCGTAATACAGGGGGTGTGCCCAGGTCACAGGACACGTGGCGTAATACAGGGGGTGTGCCCAGGTCACAGGACACGTGGCGTAATACAGGGGGTGTGCCCAGGTCACAGGACACGTGGCGTAATACAGGGGGTGTGCCCAGGTCACAGGACACGTGGCGTCAATCAGGGGGTGTGCCCAGGTCACAGGATACGTGGCGAAATTCAGCTGGGTATGCGGGTTATCTGTCATGCCAAGTCAATGTTATTATGTATTGATAATGTGGATTCATGGGTAACGTTAGACTGTCATTGAGTGAAGCGCCCAGTTCAAAAAAGCACACATACATACATACATACATACATACACACAGACAACACGGGGCTATTAGTATTTAGGATATCTCAAATTAGCTCCTTTTGTCTCAAATTGCCTCAAATGTTATAAATTGCTTAAAATTTCTCACATTTTAGTACTTGACACTTATAAATAACAAGATTTCTCCTTTCATTAGTTAGTCAATCGCAGAGTGCTCAGGATTAAAAATGCCTTTTTACTGCGTACCAAAACATTTAGCCTGGTTTAGTCTCTTTATATTGGTGTTAAATATAACGTTACTCGTGATAATATGTGCATACTTTATAATTGAAAGTAGAAATTCAAACTATACCGTTTGCAGTCCTCAAAACACTCGTGAAACTGAATTAATAAATATGGTTAGAATAGCGACTCAGTATGAAATCCAAAACAATACTTATTGCAGAGCTTGCTTGTTATACGTTCGAAAATTAGGAAATAGTCAGACAATTGACTATAAAACCCTCAACAAAAACTTGATGAACGTCACACGACTCTAGTCCTCACAATTGAAATTACTTTATCACGTCTTCCTTTTACGTCCACATTGAGAGCAACTCCTCATTCTCTTACTTTCAGGACAATACAATATCAAGCTTCAGAAACTGGTTAAGCTCGCCAATTAGTTTAGAGTCCGACTCGTACAAAGTGGCCTTGGTAGAATGTAGTTACCCATCATCACCAATTCGTTTTGCAAAGGGTGATGAGCTGTACAATATGAAACGAACAAATAATTATGTTCCTACCTCGACAAATGAAAAAATAACAAATACAGATACTGCTCCACTTGACAACTTAAAGCATAATAATTATTCTGAGCATAAATCTAACTATGAGTGGATAACAGTGTGCAACAATAGTATTATCGAAACATTTGACGATTTACTTGATGCAATGACTACACAAGACTTTGTCTTTAAACATTATAATGGATTTACTCTTTTATCCACATGGTCATTTGTGGAAGATGTTCGCTATGATTTTGAATTTAATTCGGTAATGGCCAACATACTCGGTTTCCCGCATAAAATTCATACCTCCTCCAGCTTAAGTGCAGAATATAAAATTAACTTTAAATCAAACAATACGAAATATTATGTTTATTGTGATATTGTCGAAAACCAACATGTTGGTGACACCTCAGCACCGATTCTAAGATCTTTTGTAAATCCTTATACTGATATTGACAAAATAATTTCAAAGACATTTACCAACTTACAATACGTAGTCGTGTCAAAGCCATCGATGGACCCATTCATATGTATATAAGGAACGAGTTTGCTCAACCTCCACCATTCTCCTTTGGAAGTTTTAGTGCTACACTCCATTTTAGAAGAAAACGTTTCTAAAAATGCATTCCGAGGATGATGATGTTGATTATTACCAGGCCTACGAACAGCAGATTGGGGGCTCATTGGCTTATAAGGCAAGTTACTATCGACAAAAGGGAGCTGGCCTTGGTGGTGTTTTTGGTGCCATAGCTAGTCGTTTATTACCATTTGTCAGATCATTGCTACCACACGTGGTGCCTCCTTTAAAATCGGCCGTTAAAAACATTGCGCTGGATGTTATAAATAACAAACAATCATTCAAAGACTCCTTACGTTCGAATGCAATGAATGCATTAAAAGAGGCCGGAACTAGTCTACTTGGTCAGTCTGGTGGGAGGATTAGACGACGCAGGAGAGTTCGAAAGCGACAAACGAAGACGACTCGCAAATCAAAAAAACGTAAAATCAAACGAAAACCAAAACGTAAACCTGTCAAACGTTTAAAGAAAACGACGAGGAAGAAAAGGAAAAGGAAAACGACCAGACGAAATCTCATCTCCAAATCATCCTTATTTGATTAACAAGAATGGCTAAACCAAAGCAGGTCATGAACTTTATACGTTCAGAGACTAATCTATTCTCAGAACCCGGGTATGACTTGACTCTCTCCAGTTCCCACAGGGTCGATTACCATCCAATCACCAACATTTCAGATCGGTCCACTCCTCTAACATTTATTATCCAAGGAAATGACTCTCAATACATTGACTTTTCTGAAACGCAACTCTATATTCGTTGCAAGATTGTAGATAGCAAGGGTGCGGATAGAGACGCCGCTCAAACGCATACTGCGCCAATTAACAATTTCCTACATTCGATGTTTAGTCAAGTTGCAATTTATTTTAATGATACGCAAATCACGTCGCCAACTTCATTATACCCCTATAAAGCCTACCTGGAAACTCTTTTGTCTTTTGGTAAAGAATATACCAAGACTCAAGCAATGGCTGCACTATATCACAAAGAAGTCGATCCAAGTACAGGAGATGAAGGGTGGAACACTCGAGAGAAATTGGCCAACAACAGCAAAGTTTTTGAACTTTGTGGAAAACTGAAGACAGACATATTTAATCAAAACCGATTTTGCATTCCAGGAATCGATATAAAGATAGTACTTTATCGTGCACCAGACAGTTTTTGTCTACTCACCAGGACTTCTTCTAGCTGATCAGATGCAGCACAACTTCAGATTATGGAAGCAAAAATAGTTGTGCAAAAACATACACTACTTCCATCAATTACCATGGGACACTTGAGATTAATGGAAAAGGGTCAGCCTGCATGTTATCCAATGCGAAGAGGAGATTTGAAATCATTTTCTCTATCATCCGGAACATTACAATATACAAACGAAAGTCTAATTACGGGTCTTTTGCCCGATCGTTTAGTAGTTGGCATCGTCTCAAGTAAAGCCGTGCACGGCCATTACAATGAAAACCCATTTAACTTTATTCAAGCAGATATATCAAGCATCACTGTAACGGTGAACTCTGAGCAAGTAACATCTCAAACGTTTGAACTTGATTTTGATAATAAGAAAAGTATTGAAGCATACTTTAGCGTATTTTCGGGGTTGGGTCTAACAAATCTCGACACTGGAATAGAACTAACATTTGACATTATCAAAAATGGGAAAACTCTATACGTTTTTGACTTGAGACATCAACATGATGGATTCGCTATACCAAGACATGGAAGCGTGAAGATTGAGATAAAGCTACGAAATGCAACTACAACCGCCCTAACTGTCCTTTGTCACTGTGATTATCAAGCAGTTTTGTATGTCGACAAGAATCGTCACATCTACTTTAAGGATTACTCCATGTAAAGATGAATACCGATCAAATTTACCGTGTTCTATCGGGGCTGTTTTGTAAAAATAAAATTACTTTTGACGTCTGTGCCTGTAATGAGTTGGATGATCTTGTGTTTGAACATTACCCTATCGCAATTGTGATTAATAACCGACCCACTTCTCACCCAGGAGAACACTGAACATGCATGTTTATTGAAAACCGGAACTTACCAATACATTTTTTCTGTAGTTATGGAGTAGGAATTGATGAATATGCAAGCAATTTTCGTGATTTTATCGAACGACATGGGACTGGTGTAGTTCAAAATTCAATGCAATTACAATCCCCAAACAGTAACGTATGTGGCCACTATGCAATTTGGTTTTTATGGAAACGAGTAAACAATTTTAGTGTAAGAAATGTGTATAGTAATTTTTAATACAAGAAGTTTATTCGAAAGATTATTCTAAAAATGATAGATTAGTCAAGGAATTTATAAATAACAAAATTCATTTATTAAATCAAAAATGTTGTCGGAAGAAAATACATCAAAATTCAATAAACTTTGTACGAAATTAAAATGGTTTCCACTTTTGCATTTTTCTAGTCAATTTGTGCATCTTTTGTTCATTTATCTTCTTTTGAATCCATGCACTCTCCTTCTTCTTCTGCGGTTTTCTTTTTATACGGCCTCCTTTCTGCTTGACAATGAATTGGTTGACGCTATTTGGGAGGAGTTCCACTGGAGGCGACTTGGACTTTATGAATTTTAACAAATTCAACATTGCCGGATCTGATTTTAGATTAGATTTTGCAGAGAGTCCTTTACATAGTCCAACAAGAAGAATGTTCATTTTCACCAAAGTATATGTAACACCATTTACGATGATTTTACCAGCAGTTATCTTTGCACCATTATCTTTCAGAAACTCAAGAATTTTGCGGCCACGTTCAGTTGTACCCTTTAAGAGAACTTCAAGCGTAGCACTTGAAACTTCAGGCATTGATGTTGTTTGTGTAATCGCTTGCGAAGGGACAGCGGTTTCATTCTCTGCATTTTTGACAAGTACTGGCCTCTTGTCATCCTGCCTCTTGTTATCAATAAGTTGAAGATTTAAATTTTGTAAAAGCAAGATCTTGATTTCATCGGGTATTGTAGAATTCCCAAAAATGTTGGTTTTCTCGGCTTTAAGTTTCTCTTCAAGATCCAATTCAACATCCTGTTGTGAATTTAGCGACATGATTTTCTTGTACCAACTTTCTGGCACCACCTTCATTTTTCTAGCCATTTCCCAACAAGCCCACCCACCAGCGTGGCTACAATTGGGGCTAGTACAGGAAGAAAGCCACCCTTTTGACACAGATACTTCTTTTTGTTTTTGATTGGTGACTTTAAGCACAGTTTTTGAATGGCTGTCTTGTGACGCAAAAGCTTTGTTCTCTGAGACTTGGTAACGGGAATATTTTTGTTCTATAGATTGAGGCAAAGTTCACAAATGGAGCGTATTTGTTCACCCGTTGCTTTATTTATAAGAAATTTTCTCTCCTTTGTATTGCTTTTACACAGCCGATGCAAGTAAGATGCATGGAGCTTAACACGATTTTTTCGAGCCATAGTCAGCCCGAACCTTTGTTCATGACCTATATCCACAAACGTTGGTTTATATATTAGCCGGTTATGAAAATGGCTTCCAAGAGGAATGCAGCAAGGATTAAGGCTTCATATGTAAACGCCAAAAAGCCAGGTGCCTTTAGTGGGCTAGGAGGATTTATAAAATCTGGAAAACGAAAAGAATCACGTCAAGAAATTGAAAACGATTTGAAAACTATTCCTGCATATACGTTACACAAGTCGCGTAGAAAAAATTTTCCGAGACGAGTGGTGTACGTTAAGCATATAAATGATCAATGGGGGATGGACCTGATGGATATATCTAGATATTCAAAGTCCAATAACGATACTCACTTCTTGCTAACGGCAATAGATATTTTCTCAAAACGAGGATACATTGAGCCACTTAAAAACAAAAGCTGTCTAGTCGTAACGAAGGGACTCGAGAAGATTTTTAAAAGGAGTAAAGGACTCCCTCTGCGTATCCAGGTTGATTTGGGCCGCGAATTTTATAATATAAATTGTAAAGAATTGCTTCAAAAACATGAGATAAAATTATTTTCAGTTCAGTCAGAACTCAAGTCTTGTGTAGTTGAGAGGTTCAACCGAACGATATTGGAAAACATTCAGAGATTTATGACAAATTATGAAACAACTAAATTTGTTAATCGATTATCAGATCTGGAAAATAACTACAACTCGTCATATCATAGAAGTATAAAATGTGCGCCAAAAGAAGTTAACAAGAAGAATGAGAAAATTATATTTGCTCGGTTATATAACAAGCTAATTGGGGCAACAGACTCTCGCAAAGAAAAATTCAAAGTGGGTGATATAGTGTTGATCTCAAAAGTAAAGAAAATATTTGAAAAACGGGCCATTGCTAACTTCAAAAAAGAAAAATTTATCATTAATCAAATAAATTCAACCATACCTCGTACATATTTTCTTCAGGATCTCAAAGGAGAAATTGTGGAAGGGGGTTTTTACCGTGAAGAGATGCAAAAAATATCAGCATGAGTTGTTTAAGAGGATTAGTTACCCATACCATCAATCTGTTTGCTAGATTTAAGTCAAGTTGCTGTATTTATGCTAAATTTATGTGCTGCTCTTCTCAAGTCGATGCACCAATGAACCAAGAAAATTCGTTAGAGATTTTAGAAATAGAATTTGCATTGACAAGTGATAAACGAAAGTGTGATTTGTGTAGGAAAACAACAAAACGTTATTATAACAATACAGAGAACCCAAAGTTTCTATTTTTATGTATTGATTGTGGAATTGTGTACTTGGAAACCTTTCCAGAATCATACAAAAAGGCCGAGTCCGTCACTACTTTATGAGCAGTAAAGGTTGAACAAGCAAGGACAATGGACAACTTTTATAGCCCCAGATTATTCAATCGAGGAATACCCTTCCAGTCTAGGTTGGAAGAAGAGTCACAAACAGAGCAAGAACGTTTCTTGAAACTCAAGGCCTGGTTTAAGAAAACATGCACAAACACGACCATAAATCTTTCAAAGGAGGTCAACCACATTGAGTTTGACATCCATGAGGTACCACGGCTATGCGAACAATTGCTAACCTTCTACATGAAGAATGGTGGAAACGTTTTGTGTGCACTTACATTGAGGACAGAAATAACCCGCCTAGTAAAGGAGCACAATGAAAGAGAAATCCATGACCTCAAAAGGTTCTCAACGGTACTGCCGACCCTTTATGAACCGGATTTCCAAAGATCCATAACTCCACCACTAATGTATTCACAACCAATCGACGCTGAGCATTATTACAATAGCATTGGAGGAAAGGATTCTCCGCCACTATAAGCAGCGAGCCGATTTTTCAATCTGCAGTACAGTCTTGCATTTACTTTCCCACAATCATCATGTCCGCAAACCAGTCTATCCGTGCCAGGCGCAATTCGGGGAATATTCCTCCCCCGAGTTCCCCTACTCCAGACTAGGCTTTCCCACGGGACGGGACGGTACGGGATTTCGCTGTCCCGTCCCGTCCCGAAGATTAACCGGGACGAGACTTTCGGGACGGGACGGGATGGAGGTCATCCCGTCCCGAGTCCCGTCCCGAGACTCGTCCCGACGGGACGGGACGGGAGGTTTGGGTTAAAGAGTAAATCATCATCTCGAAGCCACAAGACCACTTCCTTAAGCCTTTTTGTTTCCTAATAATTGTGACATCCAAGCATGTTGATATAAACTCTAGTTTTGCGTTTGCTACAATCATTTGGTTTTTGCATCTTATAGCATCAAGTCATCATGGACCCATCTGTAGCAGCCAAGAAAATCAGGAAAACGTTTCTGGAACGATTTTACTCCTACATAATACTTTTCATATCCTGTCTTGTATTTGCTGCTAGTTATATTTTGTATAGTGGAGCCTTTGCCAGTTTTCATATAGTGCTGGATCATCATATCGGCACTACTAAAAACTTTACATACGTGACCTTAGGCCTGGTCTAAAACGTTTTGAGATGGCACCACCCTCCAAGAAATTAAAAGAATGTGAACGTTGTATTGTAGACTTTTGCCAGATTGTATTTGGATGTTTGTGCGTTTTTGTTACGATTTTTGTTGTCATTGTTGCAATTACAACAATGGTTTACTATATGACCTATTATCAAGAATTTTTACGATATTTTTTTGAAACTATAAAGCAAGAAGCATTGCAAAATTCAACTAGTTTTGTTCCAAACGTCCGTGCAACAACATATCGTCCGCTATGGAGTGTTTAAAGAAAGAAAAGAAAAAGAGTCGACCAGACATGTCCAAATTTAAGAAGCCGAAACCCATAAAACTTGCTCGCAAGTCATCCTTGCCATGTAAATCTGAGGATGATGGAACAATTAAAGTAAAGCCTATGATGCTTTACAATCCCTTTCAGTTCTACAACACGTGTGGAGGATTACCTCCACCTATATTCAAAAGATTGTCAATACATGTTTTCGCCCCAGGGAATACCAATCTGTGCCCCACGAAACCTTTTTGTTTTGACAAACAGCACTGGTCGAGTGGAATTTCATCAAGATCAACTTTTTCAGACAGCATTACTCATGCTTGAAGCCCAAATCTCTCCAAACCCTTTGAGTTTGAAGATTTGGATGAATTTAAAAAAGGTTGTAGAGCTCTATTGGAGAGTAAACCTCGAGCTCCTCTGTTGAAGGACAACAGGATTCAACCCTATGATGTAAGGACTCTGTGCCCGTTAACTGATGGAGAAAGGAAAATTAGAATGTATTGTGAGGAATACAAGAAGAATGGGCCCCAGAATGATATGAAAACGTTTCAGCCAGAATATAAAATGCAAGAGACTTTGATGTAACAAGTCAGAAGCAGTTGCGATGGAGCCCACGAACGATCAAAAAGTTTTTCCCATTGAAGAGTCCTTTGGACTTTTGCGGAC